CCTGAGATCTTGTTTTGTCCATCCTTTTTTGTTGGCCCATGAGCGTCGTTGTTTGTAGCTGGAACCTTGACCTCCTACTGCTTCTACACGCGCTTCCTGCGATGTCTCATCTTCCAGCGGTTCAAGTCCCGCTGAAGATGGGCCACCACGCCCTTAAGCCGTTCGTCATTGCGCACATCTCAAAGATGAGGGACGCGAGCTTCTTAAGGCTGCCTTCTGGCGTGGCCGCCCGTTCTCCTAGAACGAGGAGGAGAGTCTTCCTCGTTCTCGCCATCTCCCCTGCAAGTTGCGCCCGTTTTCATGATTGTGTCCCCGGCGTTTTCCTTCTCTTTTCTTGGGCAGGGCCTTGGGGGAAACTTAACTTGGGGGCCCCCTGTTCGGGGCTCTTAGATTGGGTGTGCGTTACTCTTCGTAGTTGGCGTTGGCCTTTTTGGGGACGGTAGCCCCGGCAGTGTTCCGTGGGGTCGCGGCTCCGCGTTGGCATTTCCCTCCTTCATAGCTCTTCGCTTCCTCCTGCAGTTGCTGCTGCTTGCGCGGCTGTAGGAGCGGCGGCAATTGTGCCCGAGCAGCGGCGCCAATAATGCGGGGGATCGCGCGCGCGACGGAGTGCGTCGTCGTCGCCGCGAGGAGCGAATACAAGTGGTTTTTAGTATGAATTTTCATGTTGGGGCGTCTTCGCGATTCACAGCTGGACGCAAGGTCTAAACATTGATGGGAACCTCGCCGACTTCACAGGTGAGCCAGGGCCCCGATCAAACGAAGTTTTGGAAGAAACTAGGAGTTTGGCCGTTTGGGAAATACATCCCATTTCGTACGGGGGGGGTCTCGTCAACAGCAGTGCGTTGCTGCACGTTTCGATGGTGCAGCCAGGCGCTGCGGCGCGCAGAGTGTAAGTGCGCCGCGATGCGCGCGGGCTCCGCAGTGCTTGCCTTCACTCCGACGCCTGTGTGAACTAGGGTGCTGGGTTGCACCGTAATGCCCGCGCGTAAGCACAATCAGCGCGCGTTGTGCAATTCTAGCGCGCACCACGACGCGCCAAAATGCACGCGCGCGCCACGATGCTTTAGTTCTTGAAACAGTGATTTGGTAGTCCACGAACCTAATAACTGTCCGTGCGACGCAATGCTTGCGTGCGCCACCGGGATCGTGCGCAGCACAGTGTTCGCCTGCGCACAGCAGTGCATTTGTACTGCGCGAATCCTGTGCGCATCGTGATGCCAAGAGTGCACGCGTGAGCCGCAATGGCGGCGTGCGCTACCATGCACGCGTGCACCGTAACGTTTGTGTACTCACACTGCCTGCTTACAGTGTGTTGAATCGCTTGCACGTTGCACCGAACACCGCTGTTCCTTCATCAGCAGGGAGCTCATGAGCTGCATTCGCACCTACCCGTTCGACAACGGGCAGGTTTGCGAACCTTGCTTTGCGTGCGCGCATGCAACATGGCGCATGTTGCCACATGCGGTGTTGTGCAAGCGCGTAGCGCTGCGCCTGCAAGAATTCTGGTGCACGCGAGCACTGTTGGCATCTAGTGCACACGCGCACCGCGGTGCACACAGGTGCTATGGTGCACATGTGGGCAGAGCTGTGCCGACAAAAGCTATGGTGCACGCAAGCATGGCGGTGCTCGCGCAGGCAGTGCGGAATTCCAGAGGTGGGGATGTAGTTGGCGGTGTCGTAGGCGGCGGTGGGGGTTATAGCTGGTGCTGCGGCGGAGGCTGTCGCATGCGCTGAGGCAGCAGGGTTCGTATTAAGGTGCAGCTGGGGGCAATGCAGTGGGGCTTGTATTGAGGCTGTACTTAACAATGTCGCAAAAAGGCATTGTAATCGGCAGTGCGGCAGGCGCCAGTGTACGCGCCGTAGTAACGTTTGGACTCGGGGCTGTAGCGCGGATTGTAAGACCCTCGGTATTTGGTGGTAGGGATTGTAAGGAAGGTTGTGGCCAGCGCCGCTTTAATAATTGCAGTTGCTCTTGGACAGGGACTGTCGTGGTCTTTGTAATCTGCGGTGTGGTGGGGCGCTGTGGTCGGAGCTGCGGTTCGGACTACAGCATGGGTTGTGGTAATGCGGGCATTTTCGGGGACTGCCGCACGCCCTCAGTCGAGGCTGCAGTAATGGCAATGCTGCGGCCTGTAGTAGCGGCTGTGGCGCGGACTTGCACCGCCCTCTGCCAGTACCACGGATCAGACATCATCATCCTCATTCACCGCATCGACTTATCTTTTGTCGATTGCTCCGTAACAGTGAACGATCGCCGAGCACATGAAACCCGCGCCACCTTCATCCATCTTCCCGGTCGTCCCTCCTCTCCCCCGTGTCTTTGTCGTCCGCATGCGTGCACGGTTTGGCATGCCTCGCACACGCTGTGCTTGCCCGCAGCGATCTCCAACTAAGGCCCACATGCCGAAAACCACACGGCGACGCCGTCTCCTCTCGGCACGCCCCTCACACGCTTCGTGGGCCCATCGGAAGCTCCAGCAGAGGCCCGCACGCTGAAGGCCGCATTGCGGTGCCGCCTCATTCCGACACACCATCTCACATGCTTTGTGACTCCATGGGGAGGTCCACCGAACGCCCCAACAGCAGTGTCGCATGGTGCACCCGCTTCCAGTTCGGCACGCCCCTGGTGTGCTTCGTGGCCTGGCTCCAGGTGGATGCTCCACCGCGGGCCCTGGTGCCAGGGTCCGCATGGCGCACCCTCCACAATGCCCAATGCGGCACCTGCTTCACGCGTTTCCCAGCGCCGCCCCGCCAGCATATGCGCGCCAGTCCGTCGGTTTGCCCGCCCCCCTCTTCCTCCTCGGCTGACTCACAGTGCTCGCAACTTCGTGTGGTTGGGCCTTTCGTCGGGACGTGTTTCTGTCGGTCCCTCCCTCTCTCTCTCTCTCTCTTTCAGTGGGGTTTGTTCTGCTTCTCGTTTGTTTGTTTAATCTTTTATTTCCCCACATCCAAAGTGGGGTTCTTGTTTTCTCTGCACACCCCACGCAGGAACACTCACCCCACGCCCTCTCCTCTTCTGCCTTCGCACACTCACTCACTCACTCATCATCATCACCACTCACTCACACTCACACTCACTCACACTCTCTCATCATCAACATCAGCATCATCACTCGCGCTCTCTCACACGCTCAGTCATTCTCATACTCATCATCATCATCATCATCATCATCATCATCATCATCATCATCATCACTCGCACCCTGTCACACGCTCACTCATTCACATACTCACCTGGAGGAAGTCTCAGGCGGGAGTTCGTCTGTGAGTGAATTGTGAGGAAGTCTCAGGCGGGAGCCCCCTCCCTATGGGGCCCGCACTTCATGTTGGTAATCCGAGCGGGTCATCCGAAACGTGTAACTGTCGTCACTTTTGGGCTCTTGAGGCCTGAATATGGAGGAAGTCTCGAGCGGGAGCCTCGTCTGTGAGTGAATTGCGAGGAAGTCTCAGGCGGGAGCCCCCTCCCTATGGGGCCCGCACTTCATGTTAATCCGAGCGGGTCATCCGAAACGTGTAACTGTCGTCACTTTTGGGCTCTTGAGGCCTGAATATGGAGGAAGTCTCGAGCGGGAGCCTCGTCTGTGAGTGAATTGCGAGGAAGTCTCAGGCGGGAGCCCCCTCCCTATGTGGCCCGCACTTCATGTTCGAATCCGAGCGGGTCATCCGAAACGTGTAACTGTCGTCACTTTTGGGCTCTTGAGGCCTGAATATGGAGGAAGTCTCGAGCGGGAGCCTCGTCTGTGAGTGAATTGCGAGGAAGTCTCAGGCGGGAGCCCCCTCCCTATGGGGCCCGCACTTCATGTTCGAATCCGAGCGGGTCATCCGGTAACTGTCGTCAGGAGGAATATGGAGGAAGGAGCGGGAGGAGTGAATTGGAGGAAGTCTCAGGCGGGAGGAGGAGGAAGGAGGAGGAGGAGGAGGAGGAGGAAGGAGTGAGGAAGGGGGAGGCCGAGAGAGGGCGCGAGTGCAGGGGGCGAGAGGAGAGGGTGTCCGCCAGGGGGAGGAGGAAAGGGCAAAGGGTAAGCTAAACAGATTCTCATGTGGGGTCCTACCGTCGGAGTAATTTGTCATCTCTCTCTCTCTCTCTCTCCCTCTCTCCGTCTCTCATTCCATTGGTGGTTGCATCTTTCTCCTTCTCTCCCTTCTCTTGGTCCCTGCTCCTCCTCCTGCCCCTGCCCTCACTGAGCGCGTTCCACTACTCGCAAAGTTCCTACTCGCAAACGTCCGACAAAATAACACATGCCCCCCTGTACGTCATGCATGGTACGTCCCCCGCGGCGGATCCAGGCCACTTGCGATTAGTTACGTTGCGAGTAGTGGAATGCGCTGGTCCGTACCCGTCCTCCTCTCCTAGACGGGTCCGCCGCCCTCAGCGGGCGCGCTCTGCCCGGAGCTCTGTGCGGGGATCTCCGGCCCCGGCGACGTGGAGCTTCCCGAAAGCCCCAAGGACGCGCAACGCCTCTGATCTTGACTGAAGCATCGGTCCGTATCGTTTAACCGAGCCCTATCCTTAAGACGGGCCTGTCCCTCTACAGGGGGAACGTTCAAAAATCGTCAACAGTTATAGTCAGGGGACTGTTTTTTCACAACGTTTTGAATATTTAGTGGGTGTGTTTGGGGTATTGTCTATTTTTCACCCAAAATCTGCCTGTAGGGGGGCACGCCCGACCTAGCCCTATCCCCATCCCCTTCCCTGGCACGTTCTCCACCATCCCACCACCCGAGGTGGGGATTTGTCCTCCGACACTCGAAGGAAGCAGCATATGTCCCCATCTAGGGAGGCAGATCGGCCAGTGGTGCCCAGGCCACGCCAGTAAGGATAGGGATCGGTTCGACGATGCTCAGTCGGCCCCGTTGCTCGAACCTCGATCGCACCCCCCCGCCTTCCCCTCTTCCTACGCCTCATAACCATCCTCTGAGCCCTTCTTCGAAGTCTCCCCTCTGGCCTTTACCCCCTCCCGTTGCATTCTTCATCAATTCCCCTTGTGCCCACACGAAAGGGCAACAAGGACGCAGCGAACATGCTGTCCACGAACGCCGTGGCCGTCGACCTGGCCAGGAGACTTGGCAGCAACATGCTCCCCCTCTTCCTTTTCGGCCTGGTTCTTCTGCCTCGAGACCAAACGCAAGATTGCGTGATGGCAGACCTTGTTTGTGGGGATTCTGAAGACCTCAGATCTGGGAGTTTCGATTTTGCAATTTCTAACGAGCTAAGAACGCCGCAGAAAGCAATGCTGCGCTGGGCTCCTCAGATTTCCCACCTCACATTTTGGGGTCGTCACATTTTGAGAGCGGGCCTCCTGGCTACTCCTGCATTCGCGGCCGCCAGATCTCCAGATCCACCTAGAGTCCCCCGAGGCTGCCGCGTCGCGCCGACCCGCCCATTCTTGCACACCGCGGGCGCCAGGTCCCCAGCTGCACCGAGAGTCCTCCCGAGTCCCGCCGTGCCCCTTCGACGAGCACGACAGGCCCTCACAGAATTGAACATAACACAGTACGTTAGCACACGACATAAGATGACATACCATCACACTACATAACATAGCAGACCATACCAGAACACAGCATCCCATACCACATCTGTCCAGATGATAACAACGGGTGCCGTGACAGAGGGCAGTGTCCCAGTTCTTAACACATCATACCATATAACCGCACAGTACCATATAATACCAGAGATTGGCATACCATGGCGGAACACAACATCACATACCACACCATAATGGCGCATACAATGGTAGTGCGTAACATACATAAGAGAGCAAACCACTACACATGATAGCACGCCATACCATACGATATTTTAACATTACACACCATAACATACACTGACAACCCATTCCATCACATAACGCATCGTCGCATCACATTGACTTATATACCATGTTACACCACATCATTGCATATCATACATGGTATACACTAACGCGTACTATGACATAACGGAGTTCCGTGAGGCACATCATCACAGTTCATATTATCACAGTTTAGAATTGATTGAAGATTGTTACCACGACGACGACGACTGGCCTAGAACACTACGTACGACACCATGTTGCAGAGGAGTACCCTGGCAAGGCACCACATCAGAGCACACAATGAACAGAACACATTGGAACTAGCACAGCCTACCATACTTGCGCAACCGTTGCAACCACTGCGGCAAAGAGAATGAATTGACTTCATAGGTTGCAGCGTCATTGAAACGGTATGCCCTGACACCGTCTAACATAAGATACTATAATGAAAGGGGCCTCGCGTAAGCAGCATCACTGGCCAGAGCATGATAGTTCAACTATTTCGGAATTGGGGTGCTTCCCCACGTGGTGGTCGTTTGATTTTAGGGGCAGGCTTCCCGACCTGTCCACCCTGCATACCGCGGCCGCCAGACCCCCAGGGCCCCCGAGAGTCTCCGAGACTCCCGCCCTTCCAGACCCAACCCGCCCACTTTGCGTATCGCGGCCGCTAGATCCCCAGGGCCATTGAGAGTCCCCGAGACCCTTGCGCCCCCTCCAGACCCGATTTGCCCATTCTGCATACCGCGGCCTCCAGACCCGATTCACCCACACTGCATACCCGCCCGCCCATGTGAGCACGGCTGATCATAATTCATAGAGCACAGCACGTAACAGAAACGAACATGCCAGCGCAGAGCAGGCATGCTAACTAACGCGCCATGGCAGAACAGGGCATCACATACCACATCATCAGAGAAGAGGGCATTGCATAGCAGAACAACGCATCAGACGGTAGAGCGGAACCTACATAGCGCATTCTAGCATCCCACAGCTGAACATAACCAACACAGTGCATACTTTCTCATACCACGATAGAGCATACCATAGCATGCCATACCATACCATACCATGACAGACCTTATCATGGTTCTCACAGAGCCATACCATAATGTGGGTACTACTTCTCTCACGACGGCAACGGATACAAACGAACACCGATTGAAACATGGCATACTATCGCGAACAGGGCACAGCGTAACCAGCACACCAGAGCTCCCACTATGGCAGTTCAACTGCTAAAGCATCACCGACGAGAACATAACTTCGTATATTTGCCAGAACTGGAATATATGCCAGAGCCTGAACATAGAGGAACTGGACATAGTGAGCAGATCACTGTGTAAACAAGGCCGGGTCACCTATAAATAAACATATCACCACATAATTCTTTGACTCAACACAGCGAAATTCAATCGAAGAGGAGCATCATACATGAATCGACCGCACCTCGATGTATTCGGACGCCACGTGCGTGCCCAGGTCAGGCTGGCCACGGGAACAAGCATGCGCAGCAACCACTGATTGGACGACGTATCTAACGTGATTGGCGTCACGACGTCACGCCTTCCCGTTGGGCACACAGCAGGGCATATTATAGTATAACGAACGTACTAGAATTTGATGGGGTACAACATAATTGAATATGGTTACATACAGTAACGGCTGATACTACTGCCCATTTCAAGCACAAAATTGACGACTTCGTAATGGTGGCCACATGACGGTATAAGAACAGCAACGTCCGATTAAAAGACATAGCCAACGTAACAGACGCCACGACGTCACCCCGCCCCGTCGAGAGCAGAACATAATTAACCATATGTAACATAGACAGAACCGACCGGAACGCCACATAATAGAATGTTGCCGCGACCGAGTCATGTTTTCTTAGCGTAAACGGCGTGAGCGCCAAACTTGCGCTTGCCACAGAACCAAACAGTAGCATCAACAACCGATTAGGCGACATATCAAGTGTGACAGGCGTCACGAAGTCATGCTGGCCCGTCCAGAACATAAATAGCAGAACATCTTGTCATGTACTACACTGGAGCAGCTTTGAAGCGAACAGACTACAGGACAATTCTAGTAACCAGCCACCAATTCACGGCGTCTCATCATACGAACGTCTTGACGTAGTCGGCCGTACCAAAATACAATCAGTTTTGACGAGCGCGCCGAGGTCAGGCTGGCCACAGGAACAATCAGGCGCAACGGCGTCAGAATGGACAGCCTATCTTACGCGACAGCTGTCACGGGGTCACGCCGGCTCGTCGAGAACGCAGCACAACATAACTGTTTTTTGTTAGAACATGATTGGGTACAGTATTGATGAACACTGTTGCATACAGCAGCGAGATATTCATGGCATCCTGTCAGACGCATCATCCACGCCCACGGAACGTCGACCACATGAAAATAACAACCGCAGCAACGACCGATTCGACGTCAAGAACAGAAGAGAACAAACCATATGTGCGTTGAACAGAACATAATCGAGCATAATGTGATAGAGCATGATGCATCAGCGACCGAATCATGGCGTCTTACCAATCGCGGCATGCGCGCCGGAGTCATGCTGGCGGTTGGCCACACTGACGAACAATACCAGATTCGGGAACAAATGCCGAAGGTTTTGGTTTGGATTGCCCGAAGCAGAATAATGTTGTTTCTATGTTCGCGACACTGTGTGAACTTGTCACGACGTCGGATCGTACGATTAGGGCGGAGTCATTCACCCTCCTTCTTCCCAGACCTCTGGAGACTCGAAACGATGGCGCCCAAAGTCGTTCCCCATCGGCCAATGCGGGTATACGCCAGAAGACGGAACATGTGCAGAAGGCAGACAACAAGGGTGAATAACAGTTTTTCGACGCTATATGTACCGGTTCCTGGCCCAAGCGCACGCGCATGTGAGGAGAAGTGCAATTGACAAGGACGCGGAACATATTCAGTACAGCAAAGGTGGAAGACACCATTTATACGAACAAAGGGGTCGATCACAGCAGGCGGTCGCGACACCGTAAGTCGATTAATTTGATTATACCGTGTCTTTCCTAATGTTTTTCAGATGAGTTTGCGTTGCCAAGTCTGGCTTCTACGTGTTCGATCCCAGCTCAGCGTAGCATAGCTTGGCATACCGTAGCGTGGCGCAGGTAAGTTTTATTAAATTCGGTATTGCTGACAAGGTTTAGTAGGCTCAGAGCGAACTGACGTTGAAATGTTTTGTTCTCTTCTGGCAAATGGTTGACGCGCCCTCTTGCAGCCATCTTGGAGCTCCCGTGGGGTCTACCTGGATCCGCTTAGGGGTCTTGGCGGATACCGATGGAAGACGGGGGTTGCCTTGGGGTGGTCTGGAGCCCCTGAAATCGGTTTTGGGGCTCAGCCTTGGCGCCCTGATTTGGCCACCTTGGATTCCTTGAGGCGATCTTGGGGCCATCTTGAGGCCTTAGAAGCCCATCGGAAGCGAAACGGCAAGGAAATCACCCCCACCTCTGGGCCGAGCGTCCGGAAGAACGCGTGGGCAGAATATTGCGCGATAGGCAGTTCTTCGGGAAATATTGAGGAAAGCCTTGCAGGGAGATTGCGTACACACAGGGACTCGATTGTGGTGCGGCTGGGGGGGAGGAGGACGAGGTGTGAGCTACAACAGGGACCATCATCATACATGACATGTGTTGTGATATCTTGGTGTTCTCGTGGGCGTCATTTGGAGGCTCCGAGGCGCGCTGAGAGCGTCTTGGACGCATGCTGGACGCCATATTGAGCAACCTTGGGGGCCATCTTGTGCGATATCATTGGGCGCCATCTTGCGGCATCTCTGGCCGGGCTTTTGGGAACCATTTGTGTCTTGTATTTGTCTTGGGTACGCCATCTAGGAGCCACAAATCTTCCAACGCTGTCCTGGAGATGCCCGAATCGCTCCAACACACTAGATGCTTGTTTGAATTCAGTTTGGCTTTGAGCGAAGGGACGAACGCCGTTTAACCCCCCCCTTCGGTCGAAGGTCGACAAGTCTCCACTTGGGCCCCTTCTTGTGACGCTTCTCTGGCGCTCTTGGGTCAGTCTTGCTCTCATGGCACTCTGCCTTGAGGCTTCCTCGGGTGATCTTTGGGCCTTCTTACGGCCAGATCAATAACACACTTAGTTAGTTTTTGCATGGTATTGGCATCTCTGAGATCTCGTTGGGAGGCTCCGTGCCAATTTCGGGCCCTCGCGTGGCGGTCTTGGAAGCTATCTCGGACCACTTTTGTTTCTCTTACGCGATCTTGGACGCCATCTCGGGCTATCTGGGGCCAACTTTGCCTCTAAGCCCAAGCACGACGCTCTAAGTCCTCGCGGCGCCCCTCCGCCCCCACAGAAACCTGTGATAAAGAACCAAGACGCCCTCCTAGATAGCAAGCCGTTTAGCTCTTTCCAACCTTCCCTCCCAACACATAAGCAACACCCGAGCCTCAGCATGTTCAGCGGCCGTCTTTGAATGTGCGGCTAAGGTTAGCCACTCCCTGCAGTGGCAGAAGGGGTATGGAAGAATGGCCCCCCAAAGAAGAAGGGGATTGCCAGCCGGGGCCCCCTGGGGAATGCCAGGGCCCGTGGGGACCCTGGGCCAAGGGTGGAGCCAGTGGTTTAGGCTTCCTAGCTGGGGTCAGAGTAATTAGATGGGGTCGGAGGATCGCTCCGAGTCGTCGATGCATCGGCGATGCATCGGCGATGCGGCTTGATGTGGGGCTCAAAGTTCTTCACGTCGACGTCGTGGATGTATCGCCGACGTCACCAGTGCATGGCCGAAGCATGGCCGATGCGTCGCCGATTCATCGGCGATGCGCCGAGATCTTCCGACCCCATCTACTCGGACCCCATCTAAGAGGCCTCTAAGTGGAGAGGGGGGGAGCAAGGGGTGGAAATTTAATTTTATGATTTCTTCATGATCGGCTTTGCCAGGATGGATAAGAGCTCGCAGCTCATCGGCAAGAACGACAAGTTCTTCTTCGGCCAGGAACCCAGCTATTTGTCGAGCCTCGTCCTCAAGGGCGACCACGCGAGCAAGGGTGCGAAGGGAGGTATGTTTGGCTGATATGCGGCCAAGCCTGTACGCCTCCTCGCATGAATTTGTCTTCTTAGATGTGACCCCACTCACACTTACACGCGCTGAAGATGTTGCGCAGGCGCAGCAGCAGCCGGCACATACTTTGGCAGTGGTGGAGCTGTGCCTTGCCCTCCCGCCGCGCAGCTGCGTTTCACTCCACAGATCTGTACAGGCTCGAGGTCCACTTCTGGCAGCTTCGCGATGATGTGTGCGCTCCCCACAGGAGCACTGTGGACGGGAGCCGCCCTGCCGATCCCCCACGCTGGTATCGAGGGCGCCTCGCGGCCGGCCACCCGCCAGCACGGGCCAGGCCGCCTCTCCTCGCCGACGCCGCCGCGACGGGTGAGCGGGCCCACCCCGCACAGCCACGTGGGTGCCCGGGTGCCTTCTCGGGCTGCCCTCGGGCTCTCGGCACCTTCCTTTTGGGTGGGGGGGGGTGCTCTCCGGGGCCGTGCCGCGATGCCGTCACCGGGGTCGCGCGTCCTCTCTCTAGGTCTCCCAGATGGGGTCGGAGTAGATGGGGTCGGAGGATCGCGCCGCATCGCCGATGCATCAACAATGCGCCGCGATGCGGAGCCCGATTTTCTCCACGCTGGCGCCGCCGATACATCGCCCACGTCGACGATGCATCGCCGGTGAATCGCCGATACATCGCCGATGCATCGCTGATGCATCGGCGATGCGGCGCGATCCTTCGACCCCATCTACTCGGACCCCATCTAGGAGGCCTCTACTCTCCAGTGTCCTCTGCCTTGGGCCGTGGCCGTCTCATCGGAGCCCCCCGTCGATGGAAGTTGGCGCCCGGGCAGGAGCGTGTCAGTTCTTGCAACGCGTGGGCCCAAGGGTTAAGTCGGGCTTGTCCCTCTACAGGGGGGATATCTAAAAGTAGTCACAAAAATACTCAGGGGACGTTTTTTGGAGTATTCCTGAGTATTGTTGGAGTATGTTTTGACTATTTTTCATTTTTCGTTCAAAATGCCCCTGTATGGGTGACAGGCCCGACCTAACCCAAGGGCCCCCAGCCCTTTTGCCCCCCTCCCTGGGGACCAGCTTCTCGGCGCGGGCCGATTCTCGACGGTCCCTGGCCCCTCTCGGAGGCGTCTATGGGGGGTCTCTTGGGGGCCTCCGGGGCCAGGCATACGTCGGGCACGTCCCTCTACAGGAGGAGTATTCGATAATAGTTCACAAAGTCAGTCTGGCGACGATTTCTCGTGCTTCTCTGACCATGTTTGATTCTTTGTTGGACTATATGAATTTTGTTCCCTTCCAAGATTCGCATGCCCGATCTAAAGCAATGCTGAAGTTGGCCGAGGTTGCCCCGACAGGGCTCCAGCGGGCCCATGTGGCCCAAAGATAGGCCAGCTTGGCCCAAGCTCGCCCGAGTCAATCCAGAGAGGGGGTGGCAGCTCCACCAGACCCCGAGCCCCCCTAGCCCCCCCCCCAGAGGCAGTGTGATCAAAAAGAGTCTAGGCCTCCTAGATGGGGTTGGAGTAGATTGCATCGGCGATGTAGCTCGATGTGGAGTCTGGTTAGCATCACGTCGACGTCGCCCATGCATCGCCCACTTCGACGATGCATCGCTGGTGCATCGCCGATGCAGCGCCGATGTATCGGCGATGCGGCGCGATCCTCCGACCCCATCTACCCCGACCCCATCTAAGAGGCCTCCAGGCTCTAGGGAAAGAACTTCCCGGAATTCCCTTCGACTCGATTGCGGCCTTGTTTGACTCACTGTCGGCTTGGCTTGGAGAGCCCCAGGTGGCTGCAGGGAAAGAGGGGAATTCCTCGAATGGAAGAGCGTCTCCCAGGACCAGCCAGGGATGACCATGTGATCGTGTTCTTAGTCATTGTTTTGCCGATCGGCGCGGTTCCTCGCACCCCCCTCCCCCCCCCCTGAAGTAGATCTTGGCTGTTTTTGCTGCCTGTTTCAAGCAGATGGAGTCTCCCGATAGGACGCACTGTTGCAAGCAGTCGCATTGAGCAGAGGTCCGGCGCCAGACCCCCTCCTCCCCCCTCCGCCCAATGTCGAAACGCCGAATAAGAAAGCGGTGACCATCCTAGGACTCTCCCTCACACAGGCCGACAGGGTCTAGAGACGATTTCTGGCCCCAGGGCTGTCAGGAATCACTTCAGGTCGAGAGGCTGTAGGCCTCCCAGATGAGGTCCGAGTTGATGGGGTCGGAGGATTGCGCCGCATCGCCGATGCATCGCGGATACGGCTCGATGAGGGGCCCGAATTGTTCCGTGCCGACGTTGCAGATGCAACGCCGCCGTCGCCGATGCGTCGGCGATGCATCGCCCATGCATCGCCGATGAAGCGCTATCCTCTGGCCCCATTTGCTCGGACCCCGTCCTGGGAGGCCTCTGGAAACGCCGAGAGGTCCGGTGCCAGAATCTAGAAGCGATTGAGTCGTCGGAGGTCTCAGGTAGGGAGATCGGTGTGCGCTTCTGGCCCCCTCTGGGGCCTCCTCCCTCCTCCCGGGAGGCTTCCAGGGGACCACGGCGCATGGGAAAATGTGGTCATCCCGGAAAGAGTTGGTAGCAAAATGCCGAGGCGGTTGGTTCTCCGGGTGAGACCCTTACATGTGTGGTCCCCCCCCCCAGAAAAACACCCCAAGCAAGAAATCCCAACCCCAAACAACAAACCTCAAACCCCAGACACCAGGCACCAAACCCCAAACCCCAAGCCCCAAACACCAAACACCAAACACCAAACCCCAAGCCCCAAACCCCAAACACCAAACCCCAAACACCAAACCCCAAGTCCCAAACACCAGACGCCACACACCAAACCCGAAACCCCAAGCCCCGAACACCAAACAGCAAACACCAAATCCCAAACACCAAGCACCAAACAGCAACCACCAAACACCAAGCACCAAACCCCAAACCCCTGACACCACATTTCAAACACCAAACCCCAAGCACCAAACCCCAAACCCCAAATACCAAACACCAAACCCCAAACACCAAATGCCAAACCCCACCCCAAACACCGGGGAGTCCTCGGGGCTCTCTTGGGCGCCGGTTGGGCCAGTTGGGGCCATCTTGGGGCATCCTTGGGGGCCTCTCTCCGCGTCTAGGGGCGATTTGTTAGGGCTCATTGGGAGCCGTTAGGGCCGATAAGGTGAGCGTGCTAAACATTTGCTTTTACCCAAGGAGCTGGGACGATCTTTGCCTTTTGGGGCCCTCTTGGAGCCTTACGATTACTACGGCGATTATTGATATTTGTACTACTACTACTACTACGACGACGACTATTCCTGCTACTTCTACTATGGTTACTAGTTCCACTTAGACTACGACGACGACGACTGCTACTACCACGGCTACTCGTACTACGGCTACTCGTACAACGAATACTCCTATTATTAGTACGGCGACTACTATTACTTCTTTTGGCTATTATTGCGGCTCCGACTGCTACTCTTACTATTACTACTACGATTACTACCACTACGAATGCTACTACTACTACTACTACTACTACTACTACTACGATTACTACTACGACTATTGTTACCATTACTACTACTAGTTCTATTCCTACTACTACGACTACTACCACTACGACCAATACGAACATCATTACTACTACTACTACTACTACTACTACTATTACTACTACTACTACTACTACTACTACTACTACTGCTGCTACTACTACTACTACTACTGCTACTACGGGTATTATTACCATTACTACCACTATTACTAGTATTTCCGCCACAACCACCGCCACGACTACGATTACCCTGATCGTTGCTGCTAATATTAGTTCTACAACGACTCGTACCACATTTAAGATTACTACTACTACTACGACTACTGCTACTACTACTACTACTACTACGACTATTGCAGTTACTATTGTTGCGAGTGTTACTGCTAATGAAGGTACCACTGAAATTATTACGGCTACTGCGACTACATCTAGTACCAATGCTACGACTACGATTCTGACCAGTGATATTAGTATTAGTGCGAGTATTACTACTACTACTACTACTGCTACTACTACTTCTACTACTACTACCACTACTACTACTACGACCACTGCTACTGCTAATGTTATTACGCCTACTACGAGGAATACTGCCACTACGAGGGCTACTGCGATTATTACCACTACTAAGTCATTACTGTTACTACGACTGTCGCTACTATTATCACTACTGCTATCACTATTGCTACAACCGCTCTCACTGCTACCATAACGACTACTACGACTACTTGCGTTTTACTTTTATGTTCATTATTGCTACTGCAGCGACTATTACCATGGCGACGACAACGGTTGCGATCATTATGTGTACGCGTTGCGTACACGTTAGCGCATACGTTTCGCATGCGTGCCTTTCCTCTTCTGTGCATTGTGCGTATCTGTGTCGTAGACGTTTCGTATGCAGATCGTGGACGGATTGTCCATACGTGTTGTATACGTGTCGCCTGTTGGGGGCACGTTACGTGTACGTGTCGTACATGTTGCTAACACGTTTTGTATGCAGGTGCGGTGTATGGGTCGTATGTGGTTCGTGTGTGGTGTGTACCCGTTATGTATACGTTTGCACGCGTGTTGTACATGTTTCGTGTGCGTGTGTGTGTTTAATACATGTGCCGTAGACGCTCCGTGTTTGTTGCCCAGATATTTTTGTACTCGTCTTGTATATTGTGGTCCATGTCTCGTATCGATGTGTATATGCGTCGGATACGTCCCGTATGTGTCCCGCGTACATGTCGTGTATTTGTTTAGCATGTGCCCCGTGTGCGTACCGTATGTTTACGTCTACTATCGCGACTAATATTACTGGTAGTTCCACTACCACGACTTTGGCCACCTCCTATTTCAATGTTATGTGTATTACTCCTCCGGTTACTTCTACTGTTGTTACGATTGCGATTACAACTCGATTCGCTACTACTGACACCCCCCCAGTCGCTACTGCTAGCACGAGTACTACTATTTCTTTTACTTCTATTTGGGCTAC